AGATTTGGCCCTCGAATGCCAATACCCCTTTTGTGCCTACTACAACTATGAAGCCTCACTGACTACAACACAAATCTAATGGGAAAAAGATACTTACTAATTTCCAGAAACATAAGAAGTAATAGGTTTCCACTAGATATCCATGAGCTTTCTATACCTATGACTTGTGGATGTCCTTTGCAGTCACTCCTCTAACACTCTTGCACTTTTGTACTCCAGTGATACTTCTGCAAGGGTGATCTTTCTTGACAATACCATCAAGAGCTCATGCTCTTTCTCTGGTGCTGTGCTTTAGAATACAAGTCCAGGTGTAAACATGCAGTGTTGTGATGACTTCAACTAAATCAATAGTTTCAAGAATCTAAAAAAAAATCTGTGATTTAGACACATTTTTGGATGGCCTTTTTAGTTGGAAAGGCCTTGGCCAAGCTCAGCAGAGGGAATATTTGGCAACAATGAGTAGAGTGTAAGCATGAACAAAAGGAGCAGATGAGGCTACAAGTCACATGTTGTGCATTGACTGTTGCAGGAAAATGCACAGGCAACAATATTCTGTGCAGAGTTTTAGCATCTACCTTATGTGTGCTGGCAGTGTATTGCTTGTGTAGAAGATACAAGAGGAAAGTGGTCAGGTTGGCAGAATTAAAATTCTGTATTTAGGAATGGTCTGTTAAAATTACATGCTGCATGGCAAGCCTACAAAACTCAGCATGTGGAGAGCATATTGGCAATGATTTACAATTAACCACCACATTGCAAATCACTCCTTAGCTGTTTTCTATTATGAAATTTTGAGAGTTGTAAAATGCACTTGTGCTACTTTATTTCCTTTTGAAATGGTAATTGCTACTGCTGAGGGGCAGTACTTAGTGTAGAAAATGAAGTGTGCAGCACAGGGAGGAACTAGCTTCTGAGGAACTGCTGAGGAATTGTAATGATCTGAAAAATGTGCTTTCTTGAAACACATATTCACAAAAGAGCTTAATTTATGAAACCCCAAATAAATAACAAAATAAAATAAAACACAGTCTCTTTTTGTACAAGGGCCAAAGCTTACTAGTTTGTTGCTGACTGCACTTTTTCCCCATCAACATGGGAACAGTGGATTGACACTGAGTAATACCCATAAGCCAGTGGCTTGAGAGAAATGCAGATATGGAAATGTGATAGGAGTGCCCTAAAGTAATGGGTTTTGAGCCAGTGTGTTTGAAAATAAATGTTCTTCTAACTACTAGCCCATTTTAGATACTTAGTACAGAGCTGACAGTGGTACTGCCCTGGGGACCTGGATAAATTTTGGCTTTTGTGTCTGAGGAACAGAGGCTGTGCAGTCTAAGTGGAGAGAGAAGGTATGTCCTAATTAAGTGATGGTAAGTTCCCCCTTTACAGTTTCCACCTTGATGGTGATTGTAAAAAGGACTGTGTTTATGAGTAGCTTTTATGGAGGGATATATTAAGGAAAGCGAGGAGTAAGGCTTCTCAGGTCTTAAATTTGCTAACTTGTGACAATAAGCTTGATCTCTCAGGTAATAAAGTTGGCAATCTAGCTCAGGTCCTCAGTTTAAAGTTATTATCTTTGAAAGCCAGATGATTGACTGTAATTTTGCTCATAGTGCTTTGTTGGTAGCAGAAATAAAAACATCTACAGCACTTTTCATCAGAAGTGTCAGAGTGCTTTCCACACCTTAATCAACTAATTTTTATGAAATGGTGGCATGGTTTTCCCCTGTCTCTTCTGTGGGAACTGAAAGGATCAGGACAGTAATCAGAAAGCATGCAGGAATGAGGCACTAGCAAAGACTCATAATGCCCAGGTCTAGAAGTGAGGCTTCCCAGAATTATTTTACAGAGGATACAGACACAGTCGTAATTGTCCTATCATAAATAGATTTGAACAGATGAGCGCAGCAGTCTGAGTCAATGATGGTCCATTTTGACACTTAGGAAAAGAGATATTGGATCAACTTGTCTATAAAAGTAACTCACTACTGAGAAGGGATGTGCAAAAGCTGTGCACAGCAGCTGAAGCCAGGAATGGCTCAGGATAGGTAATGTAGAAATACCATCCATTTCCATGTCCACTGCCATGGAGTGATAATGTTAAAAAAGGGTTCAGCTGTAGTTGAAACTTGCAAGGGATGTTGAATTGCTAGTCTGAGATAAACCAGGCAAATGTGGGATTGCAGCTGGATTCAGATGGTGATTTTGTGGCAGCAAGCACAGACCAGGCTGAGGTTCTCAGTTCCACCTTTGCTTCAGTCTTTCCTAACAAGATCTCTTGGGCTCTGTGCATTGCATAATGGTTCAGGGAGGAAGGAGGAGAGTCATGAGCACTGGGTGTAAGCTGGAAAAAGAAAGAGTTCATAGGAGAACTGCGTAAAAACTTTCTACACATGGAGATAGTCAGGCAGTGGTACTGGCTGCACACAGATGTTTTGCAGTTTCCATCCTTGTATGTTCTCAAAGCCCAACAGGACAAAGCCCTGAGAAACCTGGTTGAGCAGGGGATTGGACTGGTGAATCCTTAAAATTCCTTCCAGCTTGGATTATCCTGTGATTTTAAGATATGTACCTCTGGCAATTCTAGGTATTTTAAAACTTCTGCTTAGCTCACTCAGCCTTGTCCATCTAAATAAAAGGATTTCTTCAAGGAATGATTTTTACCCATGAAAATCATTTGAAAAGATGCTGGTTTAAAGTAAATGCTTTTGATGCAGAAATTGCATACAAGTCATGTAGTGGCACAGCACTGGCAGTGCTGCAACACCTGGACTACCAGCAGCAGCATTTGTGTGAAACGTGTGCCATGCACAGCCCAGAGGGGGCAGGCACCTGCTCCTGGAAGCAATCTGGCTTCTCACTGAGGATCCAGTGGGGCCAGAGCTGAGTGAAACTGGGACAAAATGGGCATTATAGGGAGATTTCAGAAACAGCAGCCAGAGACTCTGTAATTCAGGTTTAGTGCCTCCCTGTTTCTCAGAGAGAATCTGTGATACATCCATGGGAGTACGTTCTGCAGCTGCTAGGAATTGTGAAATGGGAAAAAGGACTGACTGTAGGGTTCTTGTTGCTGTTGTAGTGATATTACTCCTGCTCTCAGCCTAAGTGCAAAGAGGCAAGTAAAGAAGGTGATGGGAGACTCTGGGGGTGCTTGCACCAACTTCAAAATGACAAATTTCGGCATGGGAAAGGGAAATTGAATTTAAAGGATGTATTAAAACTAGTTTACAAGCATAATCAAAAATGAATGCAGTCATTTAAATGCTGGCAATATAGCCAGGTTTTAACCTAGTTGGAGACTGCCTGGAAATGCACAGCTTCCCAGGCCAGCTGCTGATTTGCAAGCAGCACATTTAATAAGCATCCTGCTACCTGTTGTCCAGCAGTGAAGAAACGCTCTGCTTTGCCTTGAGATCATGTACAGCTGGGGTTTTTATTTTCAAGAAAAGATAAAAGTGGTTAATGAGGTAAAAATTATTACTGTAGGAAAATGGGGACAATGGCTAGAATTTAAGGGTAGTTAGATGCCTCTAATGATTTCAGTGGGACTTAGGCACTCAGAACCTTTAAAACAGTGCTAATCACATAACAAAGGAGGCACTAATTTAGCAGTTCTCTCAGGAACAGAATCCTGTCAATATACTTCTAGTTTTATAAACAAGCATCCTGTGTGGTAAATGCAATAATTTCCAGTAAAATTGTCTGTCTTGCAGAGCATGAAATGGAAAGGGAATCAGTTGTTTTCTTAATGGTATCAATATAATTCAAGAGTAATGCAACTAAACTAACTTTTGCTAATATAATTAGGGAGTGCAATGATATCTGAGATAGTTTAGTGACTTTCCATGAAGTGCAGGTGTCAGTTCCATAGCTAGAATTTGAGTTTTCCCAGTTCCTTTCTTGAACAGGTCAATCATTTCTCCCTTCTACTGTAGACATCTTAGAAAACAGAAAAATCTGAATCCTTCTGATTCTTACAAACATTTGTTTTTAGTGTTAAGAAATGGCTGCAGCTTTAAAGTTATAGGTAGAGCTGTAAGCAGATTCCACAACATGCAGACACAAATGGTGTATCACAGGAAAAGGAGCTCTTTCCCATGTGTGTATAAATTGAGGCAGTTTGCAGCTACTTAAATGCCAAAGAGCCATCATTTGTTTTCACTTCAAGTCAGAAACATAATGTACAGGCACTCTTTGCTTTTCTTTGATACTCTCACTCTTTTTTTTTTTTTTTTTTTTTTTTTTTTCCTGTTAAAAGCAGAATAACAATCTTAGGAACAAGTTCCTTGTTTACTGTCAAGATTGTTGTGCTTTGGAAAACATAGTAGAGACAAAACTTTCTATTTTGTGTTTTCTCACAGTTATCCTAGTACTTACTACTGTAGTATTTACTATAGCTCTTGCATTTTGGGAGATCCATGTATCTGACACATGAAAAAATTACCCCTGGAGAGCTGTGCAGAACCTGCAGGGTGCACACCCTGAGACAGTACCTGCTTTTATAGCCTATGGACAGAATCATTTTCCTGCGATTAGATGTCTCAGCTGCCGAGTTTCTCACACGTGTGCATATGTCTCTAAAAGCAAGGTATTTCTGAGGTAGTAATCAGCAGATTCTCTAGATTTCTGTCCCAGACAGTGTTTCTTTTCAGTAAATCACAATTCTGAAAGGAAGAAAAACTACTTGCTTAAACCTAAACCATCAGGTTTGGGAGTGCTGCTATTTAGCCCCAAGGAAATACTACCTGAGAAAAACTTCTCATCTGCTGTTTTTCAATTACTGAAGTATTTGAAAAGCAAAGTGTTTATGATTATATTTGCTTTTTTAGGTTTATCTGTAATTAGCAGACTAGAAATAGAGTGCACAAGTTATTTTACCTACAGTACTTGCGGAGGATCTCTGAGAACACAGGAGTGCTTCTGACCTAGTAAAACTCCTGGTATTTTGAAAACTATTATAAAAACAAGACACAACTATTTCTCTCAGACCATATACTCACTTGTTGCCCAGTAACCAGAAGGATGGACCCTTCTTTCCCATGTACCACTTGCCGGTAAATGTGATCTAGAATTAAGAGTTCGCTCCAGCAGTTCTGAAGCAACTTCATTTGGTCATCAACCTGTAAAGGAAACACAAATGTTGGTGACATCACTCAGGGAGTAAGTCTGACATCACACTAGGGAGGCAGTCCTCCTTCACACAGCTGGCTGACATCAAGAGAACAGAAATGCTGTCTAGAATTATTCATGCCCAAAATTGCTGTTTGCAGTTGAATAAACAGAACACTGCTGTGGCCTTTATCCGTAAAATGTATAGAATATTTACTCCTGGATAGATTCTAGGAAAGCGTAACTATAGCATAGTTATCCAAACTTTCTCCTATTCCCCATCTTGGAACCTCAGCTTCTGGAATAATAAATCTTCAGAAGGGTTACTTCTTCAACAGGTCCAAGTCAGAGACAGGTTCCTTGCAAATGAAAATGTGAAGAGAGGTTAAGAAACTCTCTAAAAATGTCTGTGGTGCTATGAAAAGGGAATACTTCCTAATGAACTGAAGCTGAGCAACTTTGGGTGTTATTGGTAGGGCAAGAAAGGCAATTCACAAGATAGTGGTGAACAGTGAAACACATCCCTGAGTGGATTTGGGAGCAGAAGGAACATACTGGGCACCCAGTACCAGAAACCTCCATTAAGGTTTTCTGAAGTTATTTGGGACCTATGTCTTAGAGGACAATGAAATTTATCCTTAAACTGACTCTAAATGCAACTGAATTGCATTCAGTCTTCTTCACTTAAAGACTGAAAAATAATTAGGATTTTCATGGAAATGGGAGGGAAAAAAAAATCACAAATTAGTGGAAGGTAGACTATGAAATTAAGTCATGGTAACATCAATATCCTCTGAACCTATTCTTACTGAGCTTCCTTATTTCTTTTTAAAATCAATGTCTTTGCCCTGAAAGAGTTGAGAGGTGCATACATTAGCCTTGCTGCAGTTCAGAGTGGTAATAGCACCTATGCAGTTGAAAGGACTCTAAGAACCTGCATAGATAGCAATTGCTGAACAGATTAAAATGGCTATAAATGCTATAAATCTCATTTCAATTTCTTTTAAACTAGATTTTGTCATACACAGGAAACCACACTACAAGGAGTAATCCTGCATAAGCTGAATTAGATAATGCAGTAGGTGTTTTCAAGTTTTATCAAATATTGATAAATATAAAATATTTGATAAAACCTAATGAATTTTGGAACATTATTCTGTCAGGCTTTTTTTCTAGTTGTGTAGCAGAGAAGGGAATAACATTTCTTGCTAATAGATTTTTGTAATACCACCTGTGAAAGTTACTTGCTATTGTCTCCCTCTTTCCAGTCACTTGCCACATAGCTCAGACTTTTAACATCTGAAACACTGAAATCTTTGCTTCTTCCTTTTGTCTTAACTTCCCTTCACCTTTCAAAGGCACAAGAGGCTGTGTGCAGCCATTCATGTTTTCCCACACAGACACAGAACAAGGCTGATTTGATATTAAAAATCTCTTCCCCTGCCCACAACATGTATTTGATACAAAACTATTTCAACCAAGTGATTTGTTGGCTCAAGAGAGGACAGTAAATCACCACATTGATACACTTGAGCCAGGTTTAAATTAATTCTTTGAAAAATATATTTGAAATGGACAGATTCTGTTACTCATGCTTTTTACATGAAACTATTCTTTGATCATTTTCTCCTCTGAACTAAAAGGAGTTGAAAAAAATCACAAAAATCAAAGACATCATGCTACCATAATAATGTAATCCAAATTACCATTTCACACAAAGCTGTGACAGCTTACATCCAAAGAAAACAAATTTTGCAAGAGTTTAAACCTTCAGCATCCATGTCATAACACCTAATATCTGAATAAGAGGTCAAGCACTGGCCTGTACTATAAATGACTATATATTTCCAGTGTAAGCCAGCTGTCTCAGCCACTGGTTTTTGAAAACAAGCCACACTTCACAGGTCTGGCTTTCTGAAGATCCCAACAGGAGCTAGTCCACAATCAAAGCTTACCTCCCAAGCTTTATCCTATCATTACTGAGCCTATGCTGTGGGAACAGTGCAAGATGGCAAAATCAGAAAAAAATGTTTTGCACATAGTCTGTTCCTGCTATTTTACAATACTCACAAAACTGGCACAGCAAACATCTGCTAGTGGTTCACGGATTCTACTCCTCTGTATTTACTGTAATTTAACCAGTGAAAGCCCATAAAATAGATAGCATAACCAGCTCTATACACATCCCAAACACTGTGTTTCCTGCAGAAAACTATTAGATCCAGCTGCTTTTGCCATTTTAAGAAAATTGGTGGGGCAGGATGCCTCCCAGTTTGCACTAGGAAGAAAGAAACATAACTTTAATGAGGATTCTGTATTACTAAAACTTAGGACAAATGACCAGTTCCAGCCTACTTCTGAAAGGTAGGTGTATGAGGAAAAGCATTTGGATCACATTGAACAAAACCAGTAATGCATCACTTCTTATGTTAGAACGAGCTGGTAAAGTTTATGACGTGTGTAAGTGCAGCCAGACCACAAACACCTTTGTGTCTCTGTGGCATGTCGATAAATAGGTTGCAGAACATGTTATCTGTCAAAATGAGAAAATCAGCCTCTGAACTAAACAATTATGTGCCTTAAACTGAATGTGCCTAAAACTGATCCTGAAGGCAAAGATACTCAAGTTTGGTTCTGAAGAGGAAGGTCTTCCACAGGAAAATTGGACTTCAGTCTTCTGTCTCCAAAGCCAGAGAAGGCTGCTTTGCCATTATCAGTGTAAGCAGGAGAAAAGGTAAAATTCTGTCACCAAGATATTTAATTCCAGTCTGGGACTAGACATAATCAACAACATTTTCAATTGTGGTATACAATGAATTGAAACAAGCTCACAAGCTTTTACTGCGGGCTAAATTCTGAGGGTTTTTTCAGTTTGTGGGGATCTTTCAGTGAATTAACAATGTTTTAACACCAACAAGAAAAAAGCTTCTGTTGTCCTAACTACTACAAACGCTTATAAATTAAAGTTAAGCATTATGTGGCCAGCACCTGCCTGCTGCAAGAACATTCCCCAAATCTGCATCTGCTCCTGCCATAACAGAACACTGACACTGGACAGTGGAACCTGGGCAACCTAAGCAAGTTGTCAAATGAGATGCCCATTTGATAGCTATCGAGCCTCAAGCAAAAGTGTGCGTGAATACTGTGCCCAGATGGTTAAATTTAGGCCCTCTCTGGCAAGTGGCATTCAGATGAAGACACAACAGTGGGGACAGCATAACTGGAAATTGTTGCTGAAGAAATGGCTTTTAAAGAAAAATGTAGAAGAAGGTAACGAATGGTGTGTGTCTCAAAAGAAGTGGGAGATCATTTCCAGCAGGCAGGATGGCATTAAAGAGGAATAATATTACAAGTCTGAAATGAGTAAAACATCACACATGTAAAACTGCTCTTAAGTGACAAGGGAAGCAAAGGGAGTGCTTAGGAGACTGCTTTAAAGGAAGAGTGAAGGTGGTGGGAGAAGGCAAAGGGGAGCTGGATATTGAATAAAACCTTAAAGGTGAGGATGATGAGATGCAGACTTAGAGGGTTTGTGTGACTGCAAATGATGCTGCTGGGGCAGAGGAGTAAGTACTATTTGTAAGAGAAGCAGAGAATGGTGGTTAACAACATACTGGTGTGGTATTGTTCATCTGCACAGTGAACTTGATTCTGTCAAGTGTCTCAATACAGGTTTGAAAACAGAATTCTCTGGTGGCATGTCTGAGATCCTACACTATCAGCTGCACTTATAAGTGACTTTAAAGAATTATTTTTCTGAGTTTTCCACTAACAAGTATTGCAAAACAGGCATGCATGAGAATACACTTAGATGCATCTATTATTTTGCATAATTTATCTTGCCAATATAATGCAAGCCACATAGGGTATTTCCAGGAGCAAAGGAAATTGATTCTCAATTTGGAGAGGAAAGGTCTAACCCTGAGCACTGTGGTGACACACTATCTCATGGCAGAAGAAGAAGATAGGAATGGGAGTGATCTGCCTGCTAATCCCTGGCCTCCCCTCAGCTGGGCCCTGGCTTTTGATATGGGATTCAGTGGGAGTTTGTAAGCCTTGCTGAGGCCTCTATTGACACTGAAATCACACCCTATCAATTATATTTAAAGGGAGAACTTATCTCAGAAATGCTGCTTACTCATCTGAAAAACTATTTGTGCTGATGTTATAGATGAGGAAGGCTAGTGTGACACAAGAGTAGTATTGTTGTAGAGTGTATGCTTCCCACAGCACAGAATGTTAATCATTATAAACTTTTGTTTTCTCTGAAGAAAAACACTGAAATTGTCAAACAGTAAAATGAAGAATAATGTGTATGCTTTGCTGAAATTCGCCTTAATCTTATCAAAAACACACTGTGTCCTTCTTTTAGGAAAGTGTTTCACAATATTTCGCACTGTAACCAACAACTGCAGATTTATTCCAATTTTTCTTCTGAAGAGGTATTTTCAGCCTGACTCTTGATGAATTACCTGTTAAAAATTTCAGGGTCATGGGTTTTTTGTGTTGCTCTAAGTTAAATATTTTCCTTATAATTATTGCTGCAGATTCAGTTAAACAATGCGCTCACCTTTTACCCAGTTTACCTCCTTTTCTCAGAAGCTGGAGAATCCTTTTTCATTTCCGTTCATTTACACCAACTTGCCACTGTAGCTTTGGGCTTTTCTGCTACTAAAAATTTAAAAGGGTATCTAATGATTTAAAAAAACCACAATAATTGAAATTTATGTGATAAAACTGTGCTGGATTCAGCTGAATTATTTTTACTTATGCTTCTAAGAGGGAATGCAAATACAGAATAACATGAAGCATTCATCTCATAGTGCCACTTTTAAATTCTACGGCCATTGAATAGCCATTTCCTAGTGAATATGAAGTGATTAAACATCTGTCTGAACTGTTCAGCCTGAAGCACATGGGTTCAAGGAATGGTTGAACTTTCTTTCAAATGCAGTTAGGAGATTACTCACAAGTCATTGCAGACATATAGTTTGAGTTGTTACTCCATTTT